TAAGGGGTACTGTCAAAAGGAATATCTGTAGATTATAAGTAACAAAAGATTAGGACTTCAAATGGGAAGGAATTTTATCATTTTCATATTTTTCTAAATATATCCATGTTTTTCCATTTTAATTGTTTGAGCTAGAGTAATATCATTCTAATGGCATAGTGATCTACATACAGTGCCTGAAGTTACATGTTTGATACAAATAAGACTTCTTCTCTGGTGCATACAACAAAGGTTCTGTCATTTTATTATAAAGATAAATAACCTTGACATATAAAAGTTACTTAACTTGCTTCTTTGATTCTGGTATTTTTCCACAAGTGCTTGAAGGTTATATTTTTGGATGCCAGTGATGTTACTTATAAAAGTAAAAATGCTAATGGTAAAAATCAAGTAAATTCAGTTTTTAAGCATTTTTAGTCCTTTCCTACTTTGTGCATTAGAGAATTCCCTCTTTGAATACATGTATTGCCTTGTTATTTCTGTGACACCATAGATGCCTATGATTACTTGAATAAGGCATTTAAAAATGTAGAATATTGTGAATAATACTATAATAATAATATATGTAACAGTACATTATACTTTATAATGATGTATTAATCTGTATATATTCTATCCACTGTAATAATATACAATAATACTATTATAAATAATACTTATGTGAACGTTGACATACAGTTCTTTGGGAACTGGCATTGGAATTGCTGGATCATAATTGTATTTTAATTTTCTAAGGAACCACTGCTCCATTTTCTATACTGTGTACCTTCCAAAAGGCATGCAAAAGGGCTCTGTTTTTTCCATATCCTCACCACCACTTGTCTTTTTTTTTTAATAGTAACCATTCTTTTTTATTTTTTAAAGATTTACTTACTTATGCATAAGAACTAGAGTACAGGACAAAGGTACTGGGGGCGGTGAGAGGATTCACCAGAGACAGAGTGGGGAGCAGAACAGGCAGATCAATGAAGCACACTGTGGAGGGATCAGCGAGTGAGACAGAAGAGGTCGGCTGCACCATGTGGGTCACCTCCCTGGCTGGGGAGCAAACTACATTGGCTTCAGATAACTTCACAGTGCTGTGCTTTCACCCATTGCTGCACCTGGAAGGGCCAAAATAGTAACCATTCTAATGAACATGAAATAGTATCTCATTGTGGTTTGATTTGCATTCCCCTAATGATTAATGATGCTGAGCACCTTTAAGATACTTTGGAGGATTTGTATAGTGAAAGTGAACCAAGATTCAAAAACAACTTACTGTATGTAATTGGGTCAACCTAATCTGAAATTTTTCTACTACAAAGAATATTAAAAATCATCGGAGTTCTTTTTTTCCACTTCCTCACCAACGTGTTGTTTCATGTTTTTTTAGTGTGTGCACTTCTCATTGCTGTAAGGTGGTATCACTGTGGTTTTGATTTGCATTTCCCTAATTACAAATAATGTTGAACATTTTTTACATACCGATTGACCATTTGCATTTCCTGTTTGGAGAGGTGTCTCAAATTTGCCCATTTTGTCACTGGATTATTTGCTTTGCTTTTGTTGAGTACCATCAGTATCAGAAATCATCCAATGTTTTTTGAAATGTAAGAATAACTTGAGCTAAAACAAGCTTCCATAAGATTCTTAAAAGTATATGTGACCGGCCCTCCCTGGTGGTGCAATGGGTTAGGACGCAGCACTAGAGGCTGGCCGCAGCCACTTCAGTGCTAGTTCGCTTCAGTGTGAGTTCGATACCCGCCCCGGAGGTGATCTGCATGGCTAATCAGACCTCTCCTGACCTGCCCACTGCTCTCCTCAAGCAGTGTACTTCGTCGATCTGCCTGTTCTACTCCCCTCTCTGTCTCTGGTGAAGTCTCTCACCTCTCCTGCACCTCTGACTTGTAACCCAGTTCTGTATGTATAAATAAACCTTTTTTTTTTTT